GTGTTGTATGCATACATTTGCCACTGGTATTTGTACAATTATATTTGTTGTGCCACATCCTCTTTCACACAAACATTTGCACCTACATGCTCTCTCTCCTCAGAAAAAAAATAAAAAATAAAAAATAAAAAAACACTGACACCGAACAAACACACACCTTTCTAACACTGTGGTGGTAATGATTTCCCACCAGGCCCATCACACTTTCAGAATGCTAAACCTGGAGTTTTACACGCATCACATATGAGCTAGTTGGCATTACCCCAAACAGTAGGATCCATTTGCCTCTAGCGTGCGTATGGCTTTAGTTTATCACAGCTGAATAATTCTCCCTAGGGCTCCTGTTACCAAGTTTTTAGGTGTCAGGAGTGTAACCTGGAGCTCTACAAGTGTTGTTAAAATGTTTCAAATGCCTTTTACCCTGACACTTCTGATATTTTATGTTAAAAAACATACACTGAACTGGCACCGTTTGGAAAATTTAGCCATTGGGCAGATTAAAGTTATGCTCTGGGGGCTTATTAAGCAATCTTACCCTTGGAACATCACACACAGATAAATGACAACATTTCATGAAGACTGTTTGAACCCTTGTAGTCACAGTTCATAGACCGTGTCTCTGGTTTGTCTGCCACTCATCTAACATAAAATCCCCTCTGTTCATTTCCGAAACGCCAAACAGCTGATGACTCCTGTAGAAGTGCCAACAATTCCCATCGTTGTCACGCATTGCGCACCATCGAGACACATGTCAGTTTTATGTCACAGGGATTAGGGATGGTGGTTATTGTTCAGCTGTGTATAAATAAAATCAATGAAGATTCCCACAAAAAGCAGCTGGGAATTCCTGCAAAGAAGCCAACATATATTATTTACAGTTTTTTTGCTCATCATCTTAAATTGTCAGTTGAATATTTTTGTAAAAAAAAACTCTTAACTGGTCTTTGCATTTGTGACCCTTTGGGATACTGCAGTTGAGCTTATGAGAGATGAAATTGTTAATGGTGCTGCTGGCGATGTTTGTCGCTGCTGAAGCCATGGTAGTGGTGATGTTGAGTGTGAAATCTTCTCTAACAATTTTACCTTTTTAATTTGGTAAGGTGTTTATGTTAGTACTGCTCTGTTTTTTTTTTTTTTTTGTAATTTTTTTAGTTCATTGGGCTTATTGGTTGAGTTTTTCTTTTTGTGTTTTGTTATTTCATGATTTTTTTCCTCTGTTTGGCTCTGTCACCATTCATTCCTGCATGATGTAAGTCCTGCCTCGCCCACTCACACCTGATTCTGGTATCACCAAGTTTACCTGTTGCCACACACCTCTCTTACTAACTTTTACTAACTGGCGGTTTGCCATTGTGTTTCATGACATTTCTGGTTTTCTTTCATGTCCCCTTAAGTTTGTTGTATCATGTCTTTTGTTGTACTGCGTGCTCTTTTATTTTGTGATTATTAAATCTTTAGTTTTCTGAACTTATCATGTTTATTTGCCTTCCCGGGTTTGATCTCCTATTTGTGACATCCTCTTATGCAAATATTCATATAATTTACAGGAAGTTATTTTAAAAATTACTCTAAAAACTCTTTTTAATGAAGACAAATTATGGTTTGGTTTTAGGCACCGTCTACTGGATATTTTGAAAACAGACTTATCTGCTGCGCATGCACCTGTAGCCTAGCACATACATTCTTTACATACCGGTAGAAAAAAAAGGGATTTTAAAAATTGCTTACCAATGAAGAATTTTAAAGAGGTGAAACGGGGCTGGCGGGGTACGCCCTAGACATCTTAAAGGTGCAGTAGGTAGTTCTGAAAAACAGTGGACAGCATGGAAATGTGAAAAAAAAAAACACCTTACAGGAGTGGTGCATACACCAGCGTGACTGACACCAGTAAGACAATCCTCCTGTCTCTGATTGGCTGCTTCTGACCAAGAGCAGTGCCTTTCTGCAAATAGCTGTAGGCCCACTGGGAGGAGCCAAAGGAGATTTATTTTTCTGTTTGTCAGGAAAGTTTTAACAAACGTAAAAAAATTGTAAATTTTAAATTTGATATGCGTAACATGCATGTTTTTGGACACTGGAAAAAGTTGGAGTAGCTGTTGGAAAACTGACACATCTACAGGGAGAAGAAACTGCTTAAAAAAACCATCTAAGCAAACCAAAATGTAAAACTAGAAATGTTTTACTGCATTTATAAACCAGCTAATTATGTTCTCAGCCTTTGCATGGTATTTGTTAGAAGGTAGCACAAACTCAGCATCTCATTAAAGAATAAACTTCTTTTTTGTTGTTGTTTTTTTAAATTGCAAGAACACAGAACCTTCAACACATTCTCCTAACCCTTCACATATAATCAGTCAGGAACTGCTAGTCCAATTAGCTGTAGTTTTTCAACAATGGTGGAAGAGATTTAAAGCTTAAGAACTAAACTGGATTGACAAATCCTAAGAAGGGTGCAAGTAGATGAATGGGATTTCAGCCAGGGCTTTCAAATTTCCTGACTGGTCTGTTATTGTTACTCTTTCATTTTAAACATTCTTCCCTTCATTAGCTCTTTATTTAAATTTAGCAACCAACGCTATGGAAAATAGTCGTCTCATTTTGAAAATCCACTGTTGCGATATTACAGCCAAATGTCAAAATCAAACACTTCTCCATTCTGAACCAAGTTCCTTAATTGTTCAGGTTACTGTGGTTGTCTTTATTCAATTTGGCTGTGTTCTAAGAGCAACAATTTTGAATTTTAAGAGAGTTCTGTTTGAGTCTTTTGGCTCACCAGAAATGTTAGAAAATTATGTTATATTCCAACACCAAAACAAACTGATGAAGCATTTAGATGTGAAGGTTGGTGGGAATAAAAAAAATGAAACTTAATCCCTAAGAAGACGATGTATTAAAAAATGAACTTTTTTTAGGTTTCAAGTGAGTTACCAGAGTTTGGTTGAAAAAACCCACATATCTTAGGAAAATTTGTGTTTCTGACCCAAAGCTAATATTTTACCTCTTTCATTGTTTTGCTCAGAACTGAGAAGACATTGTGCACACAGTGTTTTTTAATCTTTAACAAAAATAATTATTTTAAGAAGCTCAATGTATTTTTGGACTTTGAGAAAGCATTCTACTGTTTTACTCGAGGTACGCTGTGGGGGTTTCTTTTTGAGTTAAGGATTGTGGATCTGAAGAAATTTGTTGGGGTTTGTTTACTACTGACTTTTAAAAAACATTACACATTTATAGTTATTTCTCAGGTAAAATATTATATAGTTTTATAAACCTTTGTGATTAAATTGGTGATTTTATGTACAGATTGGTCAGAGTGGCTGTCAAAGATGGCTACACAGAGCAGAACGTCCATATGGATAAGATACATGCCTGAAAACATTTTCAACACTTAACTGAACCGTTGTTTTAACATTAGGACAAGAAACTTGTATGAGGGCCAGACTCCAGCTGTACTGTGGCCCTTTTTGATGATGCAAGGACAATAGGCGGAGTCAGGGCCTGACGAAACTTTTAAAGTGTCCTGGTTTCCTGAATCGAGGCTGAATGCACGGAGAGAGAATAAAACGTGGTTCAGACCAGCGCTGTGGTGTATCGTATGAACTCTTTTCACATTTAAACATTGGTGTGTTTTCGAACATAAACACACACTAAGGTAAATGAACACCCCATTTCCTATTTTCTTTCAGAGCCATTGTTACGGGTCATTCAGTCTTTATATAAGCAGTGCAAAAGTTTGGTTCACAATGATGTCAGTTAGTCAGACCCATATGGAGTGAGAGTTTTTCACTGCCAGGGCTGCCAGTTGTCACTGATTTTCTTCATAAATTTTAAAGACAGAATTTCTCGGTGCAGCCAGGGAGCAGAAGGAGTCCAGTTAAGTGGCTTCGGGATTCCATCTCTGCTATTTGCAGATGATATGGTCCTGTTAGTGTAATCATGCCATGATCTTCAGCTCTCACTGGAGCAGTTCGCAGCCAATTGTGAGGCAGCTGGGATGAAGATCTGCACCAACTCTGAGTCAATGGTCACCATAAAAGGATGGGTTGTTCTGTCAGGGTTGGGGATGAAGTTCTGCCTCAAGTCGAAGAGTTCAAGTATCTTGGGGTTTTGTTCATCAATGAGGGAAGCATTGAGCGTGAGATTGACAGATGGATTGTTGCAGCTTCTGCAGTATTGCGGACTCTGTCCATTTCTGTTTTGGTGAAGAAGTAACTGAGCTGTAAGGCAAAGCTCTCAGTTTATTGATCAGTCTACATTCCTACCCTCACCTATGGTCACAAAAATTGGATAGTGACCGAAAGAATGAGGTCACAGAGACAGGCGGTCAACATGAGTTTTTCTTCACAGTGTAGCTGCATTTTTCCTTAGAGATAGGGGGAGAAGTTCAGATATCTGGGAAAGACTCAGTAGAGCCACTGCTCCTCCACATCAAGAAGAGCCAGTTGAGGTGGTTCAAGCATCTGGCAAGGATGCCACCTGGACATCTGCCTAGGGAGGTGCTTTGAGCATGTTCAAATAGGATGGATGGATGGATGGATGGATGGATGGATGGATGGATGCTCAATTTTCTATTCTGAAAGAATTAGAGAATACAATTTTTTTTCTAAAACAGAAAAGCTTTTAACCATGATTATTTGCATTAGCTGTGTTTCCATCCAATTTTAATTCGAATTTTGAGCGAATTTTTAAAATATCGCAAAAAAGGAAAAAAAGGAATAAATGTGAATTAGACGTATTTCCACCAACTGGCTTGAAGCGAATCAATTACGTCAGATGCAGGTGTGTAGTAAACAGGAAGTAAAATTTGCTAACTCGCAGGGTCCACACAGCTCAGGACCATGGAGAGAAGTTATCAGGAACGTGTTGCTACTATCAGGAAAGTTGTAATTATTCTGTCATATCAACTAGTCATCGCTGTCTGGAGACGTAGAGAAATAAATACAATTCTCTTCACATTACGGGAATAACTGTTGAAGACGCCGACAGCAGGAGCAGGGTCCTGCTGCCAGTCGCGGCTGCAATCGCTCTGGTACCAGTTCGTTACTGTTCAGACAGCGAGAACAGCTGATCAACCATGTGAGGTAAATGTTCGCTACGTCAGAACTGATTCAGCAAATGTGTTTCCATCTCCTCAGTTGCGCATTAACTTTTTTTAGAAAAACCCAAAAACCACCTCAAGCGAGCGTATCAACTTTTTTGCGAATAAAAGTAAGTATTTTTTCAAATCATGCCATTTCCATTCACCTTTTCTGATGCGATACTTCAAAATGTGCATTAAAAAACATTGATGGAAACACGGCTATTGTTTCATACTTTAATGTTTACTGAGTTCCAAAAATTCCCTACGATTTTCCAATTCCACTCCTCTTTGTCAAACGATAAATTGCTGTGCATGCACTAATCTTCTTGATCACTGCTGCTAAACCAACAGCACATGCAGAACAGCTTTTTTGCTGTAACGTTTAGTATGTTTTCACACCTGCTTTTCATTCTGGATAAAACGATAAAACGGAGCAGCCTATTTAAAACGGAGGTATCTGTTTTCCATCCGTTGCCACTATTTTCAACAAACCCTCCCATTTCCTTCACTCTCCCAGAGCGCGTTCAAATAGATCCAGTTTTACACAGGGTATGATGTCATCCTGAGTGTGGGGCTTTCCCACATTTGTGGCTCAGCTGATAACACATGTGGTGGAAAACTGTTAAAACACATGGGTGTGTAGCAGTTCCTTCTGACCCAAATCAACCTTCCATGAGAATCAGTGCAAGGAGGGGACTTAGCAAAAATAAAAAAATAAAAATAAAAAAACAGGACTATTTTCCTCCCTGTGAGCAGCAAGATTTTGATTCCATTGGCTAAATGCTACAATAACTTAACTCATGTTGTTGCAGGCAGTTAAAACTTCATAAAACCAGTAAAAACACCTACAGTACATTGAAACTTGAATAAATCTGGTGAGTTATTTCTGCCAGACCTTTACTGTTACTGTTTAATGTTTTTCAATTACAACAGTCTTCTCTCAACTAGCCCCTTAAAATAAATGACAAAGTAATTGTGTGTGAAGCAGTAGGTGGTTGCAGAGAAAAAAGAAACAGTTCGGTCCCATGGGCAACTCACATGTCAAACTTAGCAGTTATGGACCCTCCAGAAGTAGCTGGACTTGTTTGTGAAGGAAATGACATCATCGGGCTTGGCTCCAGACAATGATTCCATGCTGACCAGATAATAGCTGGGAAAGAGGACAGAGAGAGAGCAGTGTTTGTCGAGATCATTTGAACAGATAAAAAAGGTTAACAAGTTCAATGTAAATATTTTATTCCTCAGAATTGATTATTTTTCCTCTACATTTTTTCAATAACCTAACTCTCAATGCTTGATTTCAGTTAAGTAATGTGTGCTCTGATCACAAGCAGGAAGTAGAAATAATGTTTAAAAGTTGCATCTTCCTTTAATAACAGATAACTCTTGTTCAAAGTCACGCTTTTGTTTTCCTCATCTTTGAATAAAACTTGTAATAAGTTTTGCAATAAGTGCATATTTTTAAACAATTGCAATGTGAGAAGTTCAAGGAAAATAATGAAATCATTGTAAGAGTGAGGGAGAGAGAATTAGTTATCTAAGACTACCATCCTTATGCAAATAAAGTTGCTTCCAATAAAATCTGAGATTTTTCAAAAATCTTTCCAAAATGGAGGAACCTGAAACCTCATTTGTTGATGTATTTTTCCTCGATTTAACCAGGAGAAACTTTCACATTGCAGTTTATTTCTCACTATTATATTTTGTATCCAAGGAACTAAGACAATGGGGTCATGTGTACGGTTTGTGTTTTTTTTATGCCTGTCTTGCTTCATCCTGAACCTTTTATTGTTCAATCATGACCATGAGCTGAAAAGGTATTCACAAAAAATAAATTGTAAAAGTATCAAAGACAAAAAACAAGTTACAATTTTCCTTAGAAATTTGTAGTCATGTTGTTTCTCTCTATTTTGATATGCTGGTGATGTGGGTGTGCAGGCCACCTAATGGCACTGTACAGTAAAGATGTGATATTTGTGAATGATCCGAACCTTTTGAACGGTTCTTTACAACCAATGATAGGAACTGAGCTGCAGACAGTAAAGAGCCTTTTTTTGTAGTTTTATTTATTTATTTATTTATTTATTTATTTATTTATTTATTTATTTATTTATTCAAAGCGAGAAAGTTAATAAAAACAAATAGCTCCACACGTGACGCGATGACGTATGGCGTATGACGTTATTTCCCCACAGGATAACTTAACTCATTCAAAATTGAATGGCTCTACGAAACAAGCAAATTGTCAAGATCCAGAATCCGTCAAAGAGGCATGAGTCTCATCTGTACTGTACTGCAATTTAATTAGAATCAGTCAGTTTTTTTCTTTAAGAAAAACGAAGAACGGAGAAAAAAGAGAAAAATACATTCGGAAGCATCTTTAGTATTCTAAGGTCCCTGTAGACAAAAGTGGACAAAATCATATTTTTGACTCATGTGACCTATATCAGACAAATCTGATTTTTCCAAATCTGACTCAAGTCTTTTTCACATGTGATACCTACAATAAATATCTGATATGCTTTGGCGCAGTCATGTCATGTTTCATCCAACATTTATGTCTTTGAATTAGTACACAGATCGATTCAAACATTGATATTATCAGTACCAACATTGTACTGTTTAAAGCTTGGAATTTTGCACAAATTCAGCAAACGAATAGAACTACAGTTGCATCACTTTTTTTATTGTCCTGGACACGTAAAAATCTAATCCAGCTTGATACCAACATTGGTGTCAGATCGCATCAATAGTGTGATGGAATCAATACTTGTTTGTTCTTGAAAAACTAAATTATTTACCCATTGTTAAGTGCCAGGAGGACTGCGACCAGTTATACATCAGGGAAACAAAGCAGCCACTGTTCAAAAGAATGTCCCAACACAGACGAGCTACATCTAATGGCCAGAACTCTGCAGTTTTCACTCATTTACAGGCCAGCRGTCACTCTTTCAGAGATGAGGATGTTCTCATTCTTGATAGAGAGGAACGTTGGTTTGAGAGAGGAGTAAAAGAAGCCATTTTTGTGAAGAAAGACCGTCCATCATTAAACAGAGGTGGAGGCCTCCGTTTTCAGCTGTCCCCCTCCTACAGCACGGCCATTGCCAGTATCACTCCACCTCCTGTTAACAATAAGTGTTAATTAGGTGTCAACAATAGCCATGTGATGTGAGTATCAGTCACATGGAGGCAGGGCTTAAAAGCCTGAATTTTGCCTGAAACTCTCAGACTGAAGAAGTCTCTTGGAGGAGAGACGAAACGTTTCATTAGAGAAGAACCCGTCCAGAAGACCTATACAATTTTTTCTTTTTGATTTTTACCTGGATTACTGAGATGCATCAGGAAATTAATTACCCATATTTAATATGAGGGTATTACAATATTCATAATGTGGAAACTGTAAAACAACATAATTATTTCCTTTCTATCAACTGATGACCCACACTGCAAGCAAAACCATTAGATTTGTTCACACTGTGTGATAAAAATATTTAACAAAGTTCTCTTCTTTGAGGTTATTCAAAGATTGAAGCAAAGAAAAAGAAAAGGAAATATTTAACATTTGGTAAAACATTATATTCCTACTCTGTGGTGAGGAAGAGTTTCAGTGTGTGTGTGAAGATTTTTTGTTTCTTGGACAACCTCATTCTACATTTAGATCAATTATATCTTAATAAACAAGAATTATGGTACCATTTTTCAAAGACAAACAGTTTACTTCCTTTGTTGTGTTGTACTGTTCTTTTCTTTTAATGTTGATATCCCAAACCAACTTATTCCCTTAAGGGACGAACACATCTTTCCAGATCAACATTTGGTTGCTCTGCCCTTTCTATAAACTCTTCTGTAATGGCTTCTAATTATTCTTGGTACTGGGACAACATGATTGAAAACAAAAATCCTCAATGAGAAAAACTTTTTTGAGGAGTTTGGAGGAGCTGCTGGACCTCCCAAGAGCAAACCTGGATTAAAGCCCAAAAGCAAAGCTTGCTGCTGGGTTAAGGATTTTAGAATATTTCCTGGATTATAGAGCCAGAGAGTTGGAACATGCCTAAGGACAGAGATGGATAAATAATAAGGACTTTTGGTTGAAAATAAATATTGAGTTTTATGAGAAAATGGTTTGTTCACTGTTAGGTTACTAATTTTGGTTTCAAAGGTAATGTTGAGACTTGAACTAATTATTATCTTTCACTCAGGAGTTTCTTAGGCACTTCTAAATGACATTAGTTTAAATACAGACTTTTAACATTCTTACTTTTTTCACAAGTTTTCTTGCATGCATTGATGAAAAAATTCTGCTAATTTTGAAACATGTTCTATCCTTTAAAATGGATCAATTTACATACAAACTCTAGCCTGACATGTTTGCAGATACATAGTTGAAACTCTTGTGACGATGGAGCCATTTGCAAGCATGAGTTTTCTCCCACAGACAGAAAACAATGGATGGATGGATGGATGGATGGATGGATGGATGGATGGATGGATGGATGGATGGATGGATGGATGGATGGATGAATGGGATGGGATTGGTTGTTCTCTTCACAATAAAAACTAACTGTGACAATACTGGGTGGAAATGAATATCTTTCTGAGAACTGAAAGTAAGCAGATGTTTACTAAGATACCATTTTAAGTCTTCTATTTTCATAATATTGATTCAGCTAATGTATGTCACATAAATGCAATCTATTTCTAATGAAAACATTTTCAAAAGGCTGTCAAGGATTTTCTTTCCAGGTCTAACGACAATAAAGTAGAAGGAAATAATCTACCCAAGCAGAATGGTCCCATCTGGCTTCATTAGCATACTATATTGCTAATGCTAAGTTTTAATGGTGTGATCATCTCACACACTCATTTTCACTGAATTTGTAATGCAAAATTAGCATATTAGAACAACATATTGTCTCTCACTAGCCTAGAGGGTTGATGTATGGTGGTGTCAAAATCCATTTCTGTCTTGAGCTGCAGTTTAAACAATGAACAGAACCCTTCATTTATATACAAAAACAAAAAAAATAGAGACACGTTTTCTTCAATGTAAACATGAGTATTTTTCATGATTTCAATCAAAATCACTCAAATCAATGATGCTTAATTTGCTAGGATTTATAGTACAACCAAAATGTGGTTTTAACTAATATATTTTGGGTCACCAAAGCATTTTATCAACATAACAATTTTACTTCTTGTTTTAAAGCACAAAACATTCAAGATAAACATCTGTGCTGCCAATCCACACTCTGTCTCAAAAAGAAAAAAAACCTGTTTTCTTAAGAATTCAGCACACTAATAATATGGAGCTTCTCTGGTGAAAACATAAAATAAAACTGCAAACAAATGTGATAAACTTTTAATGTTTCTATAAATCACAAAGAAAACTACCATCTAGTTGTAAAGAAGGGACTTGGTGACAGGTCACGCATGGCTTGTTGTGTACAGACAGTCTGTCTATGAAAATGTCATAATTGTTATAGTAATAGCTCATAGATAATAAAGACGGTAATAACAACAATAAAGGTGTTTGATTCAAATAGGCATCTGGTTAACAATCAGCTATCCAGCTAAGCCATCTGATGGTTGGTCGGTCAGTCAGATCAACGGACGAAGAGACGGGCATTTAGCAAGAGGGGTGTCAGGGCTTTGTAACAACAACTGTTCGGTTTTCCAACACTTTCTTTCAGCTGGCGACACCTTGGACACCCTGCTGAGAGTTGTTTGTTATTTTACTCTATGCAAATTTATTAAGCTTCCGTAAGCTTCATAAGCAGCGTCCGGATGACTGCAATGACTTCATGAAGCAAGAGGAAAACAAACTAGATAACATAGCAGTAACATAATGACCCCGGCACATACAAATGCACCAGAATTCAGAAGTCATTATTCTTAATAAATGTCATGCTACTAGGTGCATCCCAAAATTGAAGTGGCTTGGGTGGGGGTCTTTTTTTTTCTTTTTTTGGTGAAGGGGGTGGCATTGGTTGACCCTCATCAGAGCTAAACAACAAAAGAAATCTGAAGCTCCTATGTTTAATGGTTTTTGAGCAATAACCATTTTTGTATGTCCAGACACCCCTTTGTCAAATAAAATGGGGGTCGGGGGGGGGGGGGCACTGATTAGTGAGCCTGATGGATAGAGCTTCA